CATGGATTTTTTTTTCACATTCTGTCTCTCACAGTTGAAGTGTACCTCTGGTGCAAATTACTGACCTCTGTCATCATTTTAAGTGGGGAAACTTGCACAATCGGTGGCTGACTAAATACTTTTTTTGCCCCACTGTATATTTAATTCCTGCACAGAGCACCCATAATTTCATTGTACATGTACAATGACAATAAAGGGCTATTCTATTCTATTCTATAGTCTGGATACAAGTGCACATTTTGGTGTATTGAGGTTGAATAAAATGAATTTCTTTGACATGAAAGAAAACAGTGAACTACAGGCCTTAAAATACATTTTCCCTTCTTTGCTCGGTGTGTCAGAACTGTGTTACCCTTTTAGCAGCAACATGTATGTAAACCCAACTGAATAAAAAGTTTTGCACACATAATGAATGAGCTACTGTAAGTGCATAGCTTGGGCAACACATCATCATGCAGTCCTGGCATAAGTCTGACTTACGTTGGCCAGTGGCAGGTGTCTCCTGCGTGTAGGGGTGTGCCTGGAGAGAAGGGAGCGTGCTGATAGGCGGTAGTGGTTGAGAAGACAGGTGATGACCACCACCATCACCATCATGACTATTACGATCACCAGAATCTGGACGAACTCCAGCTGGGCTGCAGTGACAGAGAAACAAAGACTGACATAAGTACGAGTCTCAAGAAAGCAGAAAACAGTCCTCTGTGGCTCTTTGTACAGTCACATTAACACTGTTAGGTCAGGTACGTGCCTTGCAAGGACATGAAAAGTGTATGATGACATCTGCCTATTTTGCTTTATATTTGAAGATCTAATATTTCTATTTATTTATTTATTGGAAAATCCAATCATTGTCAGAGACCTTTTAGATGGCCAAAGACCTCATCCCCTGTATAGTTGCCTCAGATAACATAATCACCATTCTCTTATTACGTTTTAGGGCAATAACAGTTAAGATCACGGCTCTCTAGTCTCATTCCAAGCAACTAAAAATACATATTTCAAAAGTTCAGGGCTTTCACAGAAACAAAACGCTGTTGTAAATCCTGATTTAGTTATTCAACTGAAATACTAATGATAATAATAACAAAATAACTAATGGATGGATTTGAAAAATAGTATTGTCCATTTAATCATTGGGGATGTTGGTAGTTGAGGTCAAACAACATGGAGAGAGCTAAAGTACATTAAACAGTATTGCAACATATACCCAATAATTACACATTATGTGTAAAATATATGAGTTCATCATCTTTTTGGTTTTTTAGTACTACTTCAATTCAATTCAATTCAATTCAATTTTATTTATATAGCGCCAAATCACAACAAAAGTCGCCTCAAGGCGAGTGCTTCATCACATTTGTGGTTAAAAATGACTTCAACAAATATGAAAACACACATTTAAAGCAGGCTGGTATAATTGATGTTATTAGAAGAAAAAACAGAGAAAGATATAGTCCTCATGTCAGGTCAGGGTGTTTCACACACACACACACACACACACACACACACACACACACACACACAGCCAGACGAGGCCAGGCTGACAGACAGGGCCACCTTTGTTGAGAGACAGCCTGCTTTAAATACCCCCTAACCCTGCTCCACCTCCCCCATCATCAGCACTGCCATTATCCACACACACAGAAACGGAGGCTTTTTTCTCACACTTTGTTTTTGTTTTGTTTTTTTCACAGGGAGCAGGCAGAGGTCAGGGCCAAGTCAGACACAAGAGCATAAAGTAACTAGCAGACAACAAACCAACCCTCCCCCGCACACCCCCTGCCCACACACACACTCACACTGCATTCTGTTTTTCTCACAGTCCACACCAGTTCTCACAGTCTTGAGTTCCTCTTACCAGTAAACCATCACAGAAGATGAAGAAGTATAGAGTCAGATGACCCCTGTATCGCTGGATTCATTCACGTATTACTTTTTATCACATTTATTTATATTAGCTCACAGGCTACGCTAACATATATAAGCAAAAAAAGAAAGTTTCAGAGATGCGCAGACCTCTTTGATAGAGAAGCAGAGTTTTAAAGAATCAATAGAAGTGAACAGCCAAAGTTAAAACATACTAGTTTCTGGGAACTAAGCACCAGTTTTTTAACAAAACAAATCTAACATTTTATTTAAACCATGATTAAAAGAATCATTCTTCCCCTTCTGTTAGGCACTTATGCTTAGCACGTATGGTCTATATACACAAGAGGACCCCAAAGAACTCCAGGGAACGTGGTCAGAAGACCACTTAGGACAAACTTCTGTAAGACTTGCAGCTGCACACTTCCTGGGATTAAAAGGATTTTCACAACAAGATAACCCAAAGTTGGCTGAGATGATGCATTTAAATGCCATTTCACTTGACCAACTGTCCAAATTTCCAAGATTTTTAATATGCAGTGACGCACATGGTAAACCTGCAAACTCCCACATGTAAGAAAAACTTTAATTGACAATTTAGATATATACACATGTAACTATCTACAACTATCTGCAAATTCTGCTGATTCGCATGCATTTAAAAGGAAAAATGAACTTAAAGACTAAAGCGTGCTTGCTTAAAAATAAATCAGACTCTAGTGCATACAAAGGAATCTGATAACATACATCTTTTCATCTCAGATAAGAAACTCACCGCACAGCTGTGTCTGAACACAGTTGTCATGGTTGTGACTCTGTGATGAAGGTTGCATAGTCTCGTCACTCAACAAGCCTCACAAAAAAAAAAGCTTGATTTCCAGAGGAAAGATCCTGAAGATCTGCTACTGAGGGAAAAGTAAGAAAGCAATGCTAAACCAAAACAACAAAAATAAAAGAAAGTAAAACAAAACTTTCCAAGCTACATATCCCGTGGATGCTCCAACACCATGTGTGTCCTCACCGGCCGTCACACACACTCTGAGCCTGGAGTAAGCTTTGTCTGCAACTTTTTCTCACACACATTCCCACACTGTCCAGACACACACAGGCGCACATATCGAGGAAACAGCTGACCAGACCCTTTCTTCTGCCCTCCCTCGCCACCAAAACCCAATAGCTGTGAACAAAAGGGGTCAGTGTGAGGGAGGAGGGGAGGCAGAGAAAGAGACAGAGGGAGAGGGGCGAGGAAAAGAGGGGGAGTGGTGGGAGCGTCTGGGAGAGGAGACAGATGGGTCAGTGGGATGGAGAGAATAATGATGAGATAGAGAGAGAGAGAGACATGGAGAGGGGAGGGGGAGCTGAGTTTGAAGTTTGAACTTCTCTGCTCATTAGGACATTCAAACACTGAGGCAATTAAACTCTTACAAGCAGAATACAATAGTTAGTACTGACTGCTTCATCATAGAAAGGATCGTTGTGGTCTGGTATAGGGTTAGGGTGGGTCTGTCATGGCACGGTATGGTGCGGCAGGGGTCAAGAACAAGAGCGCAGCTTTTTAAATATTATATGAAGAGATCGTGTATGAAATGATTCCCTGCAAATGTTGTAATTCAGCCCTCTTTGACTGTCAAATCTATTTTGCTGGTGTACAAATGCAAAATATGGAAAATTGTGTCACCGTCCATAAATATCCAGACCTAAATTTAGCTGTAAGGCAACACCATCCCTCCAGGACAAAGCCCAATATGCTGTCTCCCACAAAATAACACTTTTATCTAAAATGCTAAGAAAACTAAGCAAAAGGCAAACCATGAGAATATTTAACCTCACACTAATGAAGCCCCTTTTCCCTCATATCACTTGGAAAATGTTATAAAAATGTTTTAAAATTACCAACCAATGTCATGGGTTGTGGGGCCTAAATACTGTACAGTCGTGGTTTTTCAGTCCATCACAGAAGATCAGCTACTGCCACGTCTGCATCTTCTCTCTGTCTCTAAGTTCAGAAACCAGAGCACCTGGATGTAACCCACACATCCTCGGAAAGCCAGGTTGGTCCGAACCCAGGATCGTTCTTGGTATGAGGTGACATTGCTAACCACTGCACTACCATGCAGCCCTGTTACATAACGTCAGAGTTCCTGTTGACGTTGTGAATGCAGAAAAGACGGCTTGGAAGGTTTATAGTTACCAAAGAGGCCACTGTGCTGTGTACGGTATGTTGCGAAGGGAAAGGAAAGGGAGGGAAAGAAAAGTTGTGGGAGTTTAGCACCAGCTGAAAGAACAAGCTGTCAGCAGGCAGTGAGCCCACAGACACGCACACACACACACACAGTCTGGGTGGCTTCACACAGATGGCGAGACTGGCATCGCTGTATGTTTAAGTGCCTCTCTGTTCCTTTTTTGCCTTTGACAATAACAACAGTTCGCTTTAACAGGCAATGTGACTGTTTACAGATAATAATTTTAGTCTGTTTATGTTTGCTCATGTGGGTGTCTGTGTTCCTTTCCTCCCATGTCTGCTACAGTATGTCCCTTAATTTCTCCCTTTGATATCTTTCCGTCCTTCCTTTCAGTGCTTTTTTTTTCTCCCTTCTGTCCGAGGTTTGAACATTTCATGGCAACATTGTTCAAAAATTAAAAGTGGATTTAGCACATAAAGCCATACTGTTGCATTCTGGCACTTACACACCTTTTTTATGTGCTAATTTAGTTGTTTGCTTCCTACTGGATATGCTATCTCAAAACTGGTATTATAATAATTATATTATATATTATAATATATTATATTTATAGCACTTCTATTGACATATCTAAAGCTTTGTAGTGACACTAGGCTTGTTTGACTCATTTTGGTAAAAGTACATATATAGCCAAATCTGATGTAAAGTGGGCCCCAACAGCAAAACCTATGCATATTAAATTAACAATATTAATAATAAGAAGTAAACATGTCCACCTTCTCCGTTGCTTTTAGTCTAAATAAGTAAAACCACATTTATTAAACCATTCTTTACAAAACACATGAAGAGCAGACTATAAGTGATAGATTACAGTAGATCTACAAGTATTTTGGAACTACAGATTTGTTTGTTTTTTTTGTTTTTTTTTACTTTTTTACAGTTTAGACAACTTGTAGAGATAAAAAAAAATACTTTTAAGCTTCCAGATATTTTCACACCCTTGTAATATTTTGGCATCGCCACACCAGGGGTTCTGGCCCGTGGACCGAATGTTTGAAAGCTGCATTTGCAGGCACAAGTTTGAGCCACTCTTGAGTGCCTTTCGCTGATGTTTTAATGTTTGTTATCCTGTTTCCTTTCAGCTTTTGCAAATTGATGCGTCATCATTCAATAAAAAATTCCTACTATTGCTATAAACACATACTCTGTCAGTCCCCCTGAACACAGAGCTCCCAAAACTGCGAGGTCAGCAGGTCGGCCAGCAGGTCGGCCAGCAGCTCTCCTCCCTTCCCTTTCTTTTCCGCTCTTATTTTGATTCTCTCTTTTCTCTCCAGTGTCAATAATGCTGCGTTTAGCTCACTCCTTCCATTCTGCATGCTAACTGTGTTTTCATCCACTTGTGCCGCTCATTTTAAGGTGCATAACTGCAGAGAGATTTTATTTTATTTTTTGTAGAATTTAGGGCATGTTTTCCCCCACCCCGTGGAGATTTAAAATGTGCAGCCATTCCATCTCATTTTCCCCATTCTCTCTTCTTCTTTTTTCTCTCTGTCATCTTATTCTTCATCCTTATTTCTCTTGTCTTTCAATCGCAGAAGCCTTTTTGGTATGCCAAAATTATTTTTAAAGCAAATGTGTTGTGCAGATGCACCACTGAAAAACATCCTTGAGGCTAAAACATGCTCCAGCGAAGATACATAATAATACTGTTTCTGTGGTATGCTACAAAAAACAGGTTTGTGCAAACCGCAGAGGCTCCAAAATCTCAGCTACATGCTCATATGTGTGCATTCAAAGAGACAAGAAAAGAAATATAAAACAAATAGGCAAACAATGATCAAGCTTTAGTGTATTTGATTTCTTCCTGGCAGACAAAAATGTGCACCGCCGAGTATTTGTGCCAAATGCAAACAGAAAACCGCATTCATGGGTTTATTAAGCCTCAGCCCACGCTGCATTGACAGTTGCTAAGGTTATAAGTCAAAGAAATCCCTCTGCCCCAGATAACTTTCAAAAGACACTGCTACCCTTGTTGACTTCATCAAACTCTTTTATTTTTTGTCTTTAAATAATGGACGGTGGACTGCGATCCAAAAGACGACTTCTCTGGAGTCTAAAAAACTCTCTTACTAATTCATTAGCCATCTGGGGTGCAACTGTATTGTGCATAAGAATTTTTATTTAATCCTTGAATAGTTAAGGCGATATTTTCAGCTCACCTGTTTGTTCTGATCTGCAGTTTACTAAAAAAATTGTCACATGTGTGATGGTGATTAAAAATGACTTAAATGGCTCATCCAGTTTCAAATTATCTTCAGTTGACTGACTAATTGAATCAGTGCAGGTGCTTAACCTTCAGCCAGATTAGACAAGCAACCAAAATAACTGAGAGGATTCATTTATGACCCCTTATCTTTTATGCAGGAATATTTTTTCTGATGACGCCATTTGAGTTTATCATAGCTGCCGTCTTTCCTTAATCTATGACAGATGCCTTCTAATATATAATTGTATTGTATAATTGTTTTAATCATTTTAATGCAATAAAAGCATCTCCAGCTCGTCTCCATTAGTTGTTTTGCTGTTATTTGCCTCAAGGCTTCTGCAGCAGCACGTCTTACTATTCTAGGCCTATTAGCTATGCTTCATTGCTACATTGTAGCGATCAGACACTGAAAATTAGAGCACGATTTTAAAACGTGCATATATTTTCAAAGTGATAAAAAACTGAAAAGTTGAAGAAGTCAAAGTCTGACTTTATGACTGAACTTAAAACCGTTGAGAGTTACATTTCATTTTTTGTTTTTTGAATTTGATTATGCCAAAAAGAATTTGCAGCGTATTAAAGATAATCTCAGAAAAAGATGGTTTGTGTAAAAACTGATCATCAAAATAAAAGCCTGATGTCTCTCATATCATCCTGAGTCTGATTGCACAGCTTACATCAGCTTAGAGACTAAACAGAAAGTCTGTGGTGCTTTCTGGTTTATTAGGACTGAAACAAAAAAATGGTGTCAGGTTGAATTATGCAGGATTTACAGTTTTGCACTAAAATTCAGCATATTTTCTTTTTGAAAGATCAAGGTTCAGACCTGTGTCTTCCCAGTGCCTTATCTTCAAGGGAGAACAATTCTAAATAGCCATTTGAAGTTCCTCTAATTTTCCTTGTGCAACGCTAAGGAAACATTTTCACTTCTCAGAATTGTTGCATGAGAGAGATTGCTGATCGCTTCCCTCCCTCTGTGGTGTTGTCTAGACAGGAGGAGGCTGTAAGCCTGGCAGGCAGGCAGACACTCCATGGTTAATCTAAAGCAATTAGCTCATTTGTCATCCGCTGCCTGCTCTCAGTCTATCTGCCTCCTTCTCCTCCTCCTCCTGCATTCAACTAAAGGTCACAAGCGGTCATTGCCGAGTCAGATGGCTCTGAGAGTGCAGACAGAGAGAGAGTGGGGAGGGCAGGAGAATTGAGGGAGGGGTGGTAGGAGAAAGGAAGACAGGGAGGAAGAAAATATGGTGGGAAGGAAGGAGGGAGTGGAAGGGAAGAAGTTGAAGAGTGAGGAATAAAGCAGGGAATGTGAAGGGAGGCAGAAAAGAAGGCAGGACATGAAATATATTAGCAGATGGAAAATATGAGGTTGAAAAGCTTAAAAAGGGAGGAAGGAAGGCAACCAGAAAAGAAAATGTAAAAAAAAAAATCAATGATGAAAAGAGTAGAAAGGGAGAAAGGGAAGAAGAGAGAGAGAAGAGCTCGCTAATTCCTCCCCCCTTTCTCAGTCCTCAGATGACTCGACAGTCTGGGTAGTCAGAAATAGCACAGACAGCTGTGTGTGTGTATGTG